GGCGAGAGGATTTGGGACCAGAAGTAGAGGTTTTTTGGGAATGAGAGACCTTATATTACAGATCTCTCTCCTATATAGTTGACCAGTCTCTTGGCTCGTGCTTAAGCTGCACCAGCGTCGAAACAAAAATATTACGTCTGCCCATTTAAATTTACACTTGCATGGACGATTCACCTGTGTTCTTCTTAACAAGCCACAATGGGTTTACATCTACGAAAGGATTTTCTGATTAAATACTTAGAAATTTCACCATTCACATTTTTTCCCCTGTCCTATGGAGAATATCGTTTAAACTTAGGTTCCGTGTATTCCGGATCACCAGCAGTGACCTTGTTATTACGTTTTCTTTTCAGCATCTACCTGGTCGACGTTGTACAGACAAGTACTACCGGTTGTTTGATGACTACCCTGGAAATAGCAGTAGCTGAGTATGCCCGCGGTGAACACAGGAACGTCGACCTGATTTTGAATGAAATAAAAACAGCGAGAAAATTCCCCGTGGCGCATCAGAATTTCTTCTCTGAATGTCTCCGATTGGTTGATGATTTGCCCAGTAATCTCATGCTTGCATTTGCAAATCTGTTTCTGACGGAAAAGCAGTGGTTCACTTTAGAACCAGAGCTAAGAGATCAGTGCATTTGTCTGCTCACTTTTATTTCCCTACGCAATTCTTCGGTTCTCAACCACTTTCTGATGTCAGCTTGCAACCTGCTGTTCTCTGTGGATGTTCATTTCGACGATAAAGATAAGCGTCACTATCCCTCACAATGCTTTGATCTTGCCGCGAAGTGTCTTCATGAACTAGTTCTTGCGATACCTCAGGCGGAGGATCAGGTTTTAGAGATTCTCAAAATGTCTCTTCCCAGTTGGAGACGTCCCATTAAGGAAGTGTTTGTATCTTGTTGCAATTTACTTGCTTTAAGTCACTGGGCGTTGCAACATCCTTTCCTCAGTGAGACGTCGATTTCAACTCTAATGGACTTGGTTTTCATTCAGCTTATTGATCTGGAGGCCCATATTGATATAACTGATTATTCTACTCAGAATTCCATACTTCCTGCAGTCGACGACCTTCTAGAAAAGTCATCATTTGAGAAGAACGTACTTCAGATGCTGGAAGTACTTGACGCCTCTGACTCTAACGAGCATTCAAAGGTTGAAATCCTAGTCTGGTTGAGTATTATGTACTTGCACATTGCGTTTGACGCCTTCCCTAAATCTCAGAGTCCCGTAAAAATAAACAAACAGGAGTGGAGCCAGCTGTGCTCTGTTTTCCGTTGTATGAGAACCAGATTTTTCCAGTATGTGCTGCCTGTTCAGAATTATTTCACGGCCTTCCCTCTCGTCCTTGCCGTTGCATGCAGTCTCCGCCCTGGAGTAGTTGTGAGCTACGCGGAAAGCCTTTGGAATTTTATTAAGGACGCTCGACAGCCTACAGCGTCCCGTGTTAGATGCGTCGCCTATCTCTCAGATACCCTTGCTCGTTCAAACTACGATTCGCACGAAGTCCTCTTGGAGCTGCTTCATGACATGGCTTCTTGGTGTGTGGAGTACACGTACTTCCAACGAGGTCGTGCATTCAGACGACCATCGCAAATGTTCGCTGAACATAGTCTGTTCTACACTGTTTTTGAGGCTGTTGTATACCTTTTGACATATCGCCAAGCAGACTTACTTGGATCTCGGTCTAGTCGTGAGTCCTGTGTGTTACTTCCAC